AAGGACAAAATTGTTTAACTTTTCCCCCTCAAATACCAGGCCCTGACCTTTTGCCTGTATTATCCCATGAATCTTGTTCGGTATGGTAGCTTGTTAGTGAGTCTGGGGTGCTCAGATGAGTTTGCATCAGAATTATCATCCTTAAATAAAACTTCCTACTCTGTTAGTGAAAAAAAAGCCTTGAATGGATCTTTCTCTCCCAAATTGAATTCAAGAGAAGGGAGGGTTGTACTAGAGCCTGTGTGGCTCTTTCACACTTATTGTGCGGTTCTCAGCAGGACGGCTGGGGAAGCGAAATATCATTAGCAAACAAATATCATTGGACAAATAAACATCATTATCAATATCTGCTTTTACCCCCTTTTTTGTTATTTTTAGCAGTCTCATTTAATGTTAATAAAAAGCAAATTTGCATATTTCCCAGTACACCGTGTAATATTTGTTCATGCCTTGCGGCTCTCAAACATCCGATGTTTATTCTATGTGGCTCTTACGTTAAGCATGTTTGGCCACCCCTGTACTAGAGTTTTGAAAACTCCCCTAACACTGGTTTTTCCTTGTCCAGGGAGAAGCCCTGATCACTAGCTGGAATCATTGCCCTCTCTCCTTTTTGCTTCTTAATATCTTCCTGCGTTGAAGGTGTAACTGTTCACACACAGAACGAAGTGTGGGCTTTGGAGGATCCAACCAGCCCTGGTCGTTAAAAACGATTTTTAAACAATTTAAAAACAAACAAACAAAAACCAATAGAAGACATTGACAAGAAGAATGGATGTCCTTGATCCAAGTTTGGAGACCATCTTAGAGTATGGATTGAAGAAGGATAAGGAGGACTCGCCTGGCCCTAGAGCAGGGAAAGGCCCCGGTGCCACCGAGGTAGAGAACAGTGGGGGATTCTGGGAAAAAACAGTGCAGAAGATCCTGAGGGAGGACACTGGTACCTCAGACCTACAGCGCCAGAACTTCCGGGAGTTCTGCTACTGGGAGGTTGAGGGACCCCGGGAGGCTTACGCCCGACTCCAGGACCTTTGCCGGCAGTGGCTGAAACCAGAGCAACGCACAAAGAATCAGATCCTGGACCAGGTGATCTTGGAGCAATTCCTGGCCATCCTGCCCCCAGAGATGGAAAACTGGGTCAGAGAATGTAGGCCGGAGACCAGTTCTCAAGCGGTGGCCCTGGCAGAAGGTTTCCTCCTGAGTCAGGACAAGAGCCTGGAACAACAGGTGAGAAAATTTTATCCTGGTATGTTTAGGGACCAAGAATATGTACAAGATTATCCTAAAAATCCCCACCCGCAGCCCACCTTTTGTCTTGAAATTGTCTAAAGGGGGATATCCTCCAACTCTCTTAGACTTTCCCTGCCCCGTTTCTTTTTTTAACCCATTCTCTCTATGGCACCCTGAATGCCCTTTTAGGTAACTGGACTGTCTGCAGGAGGGGAAACTGATTTCTGTGAGGCAGAGATTGCTCTATCAGGCATCAGAGAGAGTCCATGCTCCAAGGAGATCAAGCAGGAGGGAGACAGAGTCGCCACTTCACTGGGTAAGGATGACTAAGGTGTAGTTCAACTCAGTCTCTTTCTCTTATGCATATATGTGTGAACACATGAAGCGGCCTTATACTGAATCAGACCGTCGGTTCATCAAGGTCACTTATTGTCTACTCAGACCAGGAACAGCTCTCCAGGGTCTCAGGCAGAGTTCCTTCACATCAGCCACTGCTTGTTCCTTTTATAACTGGAGACGTGATGGATTGAGGGATTCCACATCCCAAGCAGAAGCTCTGCCACTACGCCGTGGCCCATCCACAAGGATATTTGAAATCCATTAGCTGCATGATAAAAAGTAGAGACATCACCCTGCCAACAAAAGTCCGCATGGTCAAAGCAATGGTATTCCCAGTAGTCATGTATGGCTGCGAGAGTTGGACTATAAGGAAGGCCGAGTGTCGAAGAATAGATTCTTTTGAACTATGGTGCTGGAGAAGACTCTTGAGAGTCCCTTGGACTGCAAGAAGATCAAATCAGTCAGTCCTAAAAGAAATCAACCCTGACTGTTCCCTGGAAGGCCAGATAATGAAACTGAAGCTCAAATACTTTGGCCACCCAATGAGAAGGGAGCACTCCCTGGAGAAGACCCTGATGCTGGGAAAGATTGAAGGTTAAAGAAGACGGGGACGGCAAAGGATGAGATGGTTGGACAGTGTCATAGATGCAACGAACATGAAACTGAGCAAACTTCAGAGGACGGCGGAAGACCGGAGGGCCTGGCGGGAGCTGGTCCACGGGGTCGCGAAGAGTCGGACTCGACTCTTCGACTGAACAACAAAAAGCTGCTTTTATGTTTCCCTGAGCTTGTGAAAGGATTTTAAAAATGAAGGATCGCCTCACTCATTCATGGGGTTGCCAGGTCCTCTCGTCGTTCTGGTGGGGGAATTCGGGGGTTGTTTGGGGATGTTCCTGATGTGATGACATTACCTGGAAGTGACATTATCGTGTTGTGGATGTTGCATGGTGATGCTCTGGTTTAGGGGCAAAACTCTATGGTAAAACCGGCTTAAAACCAGAATTTTGCCCTTAAACCAGAGCGTCCCCACGCAGCGTCCCCGATGTGATGATGTCACTTCCGGGTGACATCATCACGTCTGGGAAGTCATGCAGGGACATGGCTGTTTTGGGGGTGGGGTTTCCTATGCCAGCCAGCTGGCTGGTGGCAGGGAGAAGCCACGAAAACGGGGGGAACCCCCGCCCCGACCGGGGGACTGGCAAGCCTACTCATTAATACACACACATACGTGTATGTATATTCCATTTCATCAGTTTAAAGCTTTTAAAATCTATTATTTTAAGGCTTTTAAAATCCCAAAGCAGCAATCTGCATTGTTTCAAAGAGCTAAAATGTATGGAAAGATTGGCAGGGGAGGGGTGTGTGTGTACAGAACGATGATGACAAAAATTCAGTCCTTTCATAACAACATCAAATGTGTATAAAAGGTAACATGTCCTCATGCTACTTTTCTGACTCTTGCAGGTGACAGCAGGACATTGGCACAGCATTCAAGGTCTTCGTGTAACCAGGTCAGTGAATGATCACTAGGAGGCGGGCAAATGATAGCTGAGGTGCCTCAGTCATAAAAAAATAAGAAGAGCCCTGCTGGATGAGATACTCCAATACTCCATCTAGTCCACCATCCTTTCTCACAGAGTGGCCAGCCATTTCATCTGGAGGGCCAACAACAGGGCACAGAGGCCGAGGCCTTCATAAGAACAATCCTTCTAGATCAGACCAATGGTCCATCTAGCCCAGCCTCCTGTCTCACACAGTGGCCAACGGGTTCCTCTGGAAGGCCAAGAACAGGGCACAGAGGCTGAGGCCTTCGTAAGAATATAAGAGCCCTGCTGGATCAGACCAATGGTCCATCTAGTCCAGGATCCAGTCTCACACAGTGGCCAACCAGTTCCTCTGGGTAGCCAAGAACAGGGCATAGAGGCCGAGGCCTTCGTGAGAACATAGGAAGAGCCCTGCTGGATCAGACCAATGGTCCATCTAGTCCAGCATCCAGTCTCACACAGTGGCCAACCAGTTCCTCTGGAGGGCTAAGAACAGGGCACAGGCTGAAGCCTTCGTAAGAACATAAGAAGAGCCCTGCTGGATCAGACCAGTGGTTCATCTAGTCCAGCTTCCTCTTTCACACAGTGACCACCCAGTTCCTCTGGGGGGCCTACAACAAGGCACAGAGGCTGAGGCCTTTGTAAGAACATAAGAAGAGCCCTGCTGGATCAGACCAGTGGTTCATCTAGTCCAGCTTCCTCTTTCACACAGTGACCACCCAGTTCCTCTGGGGGGCCTACAACAAGGCACAGAGGCTGAGGCCTTCTCCTGAGGTTGCCTCCTGGCTCTGGGACTCAGAGGCCTAGTGCCTCTGAATGTGGAGGTTCCTCTCAGCCACCATGGCTAGTAGCCATTGATAGACTTATCCTCCAGCAATCGATCTAATCCTCTTTCTGTCGATTTGCCAATTTCCAGATGGGGTCTGAACACCTCTCAGAATTACAACTTATCTCCAGACTGCAGAGATCAGTCCCCCTGGAGAAAATGGCTGCTTTGGAGGGAGGACTCTGTGGTGTTGTACCCAGTTGAGGCCTCTCCTCTCACCAAATGCCACCCTCCCCAGGCTCCACCTCCAAATCTCCAGGAATTTCCCAACCTGGAGTTGACAACCCTTCTGAATGGCACTCCTGAAGCTTTCAATAGCACCCAGACACCTCACCTGAACCCTTTCTTCAAACTGTGCACGGAAAGCAAAGAAGGGGGATTTTTCTCTTCTTTCAGGGCCTGGTGACCTTCGAGGAGGTTCACGTGTATTTCACTGAGGAGGAGTGGAATCTGCTGGATGCCGACCAAAGAGCCTTGTACATCGAGGTCATGCTGGAGAACTGTGGGAACGTGGCCTCGCTGGGTAAACCTTTACTTTTCTAAGATGTAGGCTTGCCAACTTTGGGTTGGGAAATTCCTGGAGATTTGGGGGTGGAGGCTGAGGAGTGTAAGCTGCTCTGAGACTCTGAGTGAAGGGTATAAATGCAATCTCCTCCTCCTCTTCCTCCTCCTCTTCCTCCTCCTCTTTCTCCTCCTCCTCCTCATCCTCTTTCTCCTCCTCCTCCTCATCCTCTTTCTCCTCCTCCTCCTCCTCTTTCTCCTCCTCCTCCTCCTCCTCCTCCTCCTCCTCCTCCTCCTTCTTCTTCTTCTTCTTCATCAGAGCACTGCAAGCTCTTTCTCGTACTCAGTTCTGTTGGGCTACCTTCACAGAAAGGCTGGATATTTATAGAATTATAGAATCACAGCGTACTATGGTGCCTCTTTTTCCAGAGTTGTGTTCAAAGAGTGTCAACGTCCGATGTCAGGGACTGTTTCCTGGTTTGCTTTTGTAGGGCTCAGAATGGTTTCATAGAGCTCTTCTCTGAGGCCGTTTCTCTGTGAAGGGAATGGGTATACTTTACCAGGGGGCTGGGGTAGGGTTGGTAACTCTTGGAAGGCAGAAAAATCTGGCCAGGTGCTATCAAGTCGCTTCTGACTTTTGGCGACCTTATGAATTAATGTCCTCTAAAACATCCTATTGTCAACAGCCACTCTTAAGCAATGTTCCCTCTAAGCTGTGGAGTCTTGTGAGCAAAAATTCTACTTTGTGAGCGACTGGCATTAAGGTTGTGAGCGAGCAATTTGGTTACTGCATAAATTAGTATGCATTGGAGCTATCCCTTCCTGAGCTAGGATGAAAATGTGTGAGCCGGAGGCTAGAAAACTGTGAGCTAGCTCACACTAACTCAGCTTAGAGGGAACACTGCTCTTAAGTCTTTCAAACTTTGGGCCGTGGCTTCCTTGACTCAGTCCGTCCACCTCATGTTGGGTCTTCCTCTTTTCCTTCCGCCTTCATCTTTTCCGAGCATTATTGTCTTTTCCAGTGACTCTTGTCTTCTCATAATCTGACCAAAGTATGACAGCCTCAGTTTAGTCTTTCTAAAGAGAGGTCGGCTTGATTGGATCTAGAACCCACATTTGCCTTTTTGGCAGCCCGCAGAACTCTCCTCCAGCACCACATTTCAAAGGAATCTTCTTTCTTCCTGTCAGCTTTCTTCATTGTCCAGCTTTCACGCCCACTTTCACACTATGGCGTGAATTAACTTGATTACCAGTTGAGTGTAGTGGTGAAGTGCAAGGATTTTAATCTGGAGAACTGGATTTGATTTCCCCACTTCTCCACATGCAGCCAGCTGGGTGACCTTGGGTCAGTCACAGTTCTCTCAGAGCCGTTCTCTCAAGAGCAGTTCTCTCAGAGCTCTCTCAGCCCCACCTACCTCACAGGTTTTCTGTTGTGGGGAGAAGGAAGGGAAAGGAGATTGTAAGCCTCTCTGAGACTCCGAGGCCCAGGCCATTTAGTATGTCTCAGGATCTGTTTCCCCAGCAAATCAGCTCACTCAATTGGATTTGTCCTATGAGTTGGGGGTCTATGTCTGCTTCTGTCTCTCACAAGTTTTCTTTTTTCTTTTTATTCTAGCTAGTACTGGGTGGGAGCCCAAAAATGAGGGAGAATCGTATCATGTGATGTCAGGAGGAGCCAGATATATAGAAAGAGAAGAGGAGAGATGGAAAACAGAATTGAAAGAACAAGGGAATGAGTCATTTGCATCTCCGAGCAGTGACTTCTATGAGATCCCGATCCCAGAAAAAATAGATAAAGGAAAGGAAAAGACGCAGTGCCCTGAGTGTGGGAAAAATTTCAGCTCTAAGTCAAACCTTAATACTCACTGGAAAATCCACACAGGGGAGAAACCATTTAAATGTCTGGAATGTGGGAAAAGCTTTTGTCAAAAGGAAAAACTTATCAGACATGAAAGAATCCACACAGGAGAGAAGCCATACGGTTGCTTGGAGTGTGGAAAGAGTTTCATTCAGCGAATAGATCTTACTACTCATCAGAGAATCCATACTGGGGAGAAACCGTATAAATGCTCAGTATGTGGAAAGAGTTTCAGGCAAAGCTCAAGTCTTGCTTCACATCAAAAAATTCATACTGGGGAAAAACCATATAAGTGTCTAGACTGTGGAAAGACGTTCACACTGAATTATAGCCTTACAGTGCATCAAAGAACTCACACAGGAGAGAAACCATATGAATGTCTGGATTGTGGGAAGAGCTTCAGTCAAAGCATACACCTTACTTCTCATCAAAGGATTCATACTGGTGAGAAACCGTACGAATGCCTGGATTGTGGGAAGAGTTTCATTCGGAGCACCCACCTTACTTCACATCGAAGAATCCACACGGGAGAGAAACCATTTAAATGCATGGAGTGTGGAAAGAGCTTTAGCCGGAGCACGCACCTGATTAGGCATCAAAGAATCCACACAGGAGAGAAACCGTATAAATGCTCGGACTGCGGAAAGAGTTTTAGTCGGAATACGCACCTCAGTTCACATCAAAAAATTCACACAGGGGAGAAACCATATAAATGCTGGCAGTGTGGAAGGAGCTTTCATAAGAACACAGACCTTACTTCACATCACAGAGTACACACAGGTGAGAAACCTTTCCAGTGCCTGGAATGTGGAAAGAGCTACAGATGGAACTCGAGCTTCACTTCCCATCAAAGAATCCACACAATGGAGAAACAACTTGATTGGTCAGAGTGTAGCATCAATTTTTGAGAGGACTCAGTCCTTAAAAAATATTAAAGCACTCACCAGTTCCTAATTTCTTGAAGTGCTGGAAGATCTTGAATCCACAAAGGAAGAAAGTTGTCTACCTTCTGCAAAATCATAGCATGAACTTTTGTGATACATTGGATGGTGAATTCACAACTGTGGAAGAAAAATGTCAATAATCGGTTTTTCTGAACGATCGACTCTTAGTGTGGAGTGAAGGATCTAAGCCTGGGGAAGACCAGATACATTCTCAGGCTGTGGTGACAAACACTGAATAATTCACTTTCAATCCACTTTCAATGCACTTTCCAACTGGATTTTTACTGTGTGAACTGGCAAAATCCAATTCGAAAGTGCACTGAAAGTGGATTATTTAGTGTGTTTGACTGCAGCCTCAATGTGGCAAAAATTTCTTTGTACACTCAAAATATACAAATTAATGTAATTAGTATGATAGGCCACACTCATTAGGATTGGCTACAATTAGGGGTGTGTGGCATAACATGCAAAAAGCTCTGGGTTTTGACAACAAACAAGGTAAAGAGAATAAGAAGCAAAAGGTGGGTGTGGCTGGATAACCACACTTCTGGTAACATGGGGTTTGGCCTAATATTCGAATGAGCTGTGTTGTCAGGGTGTGGCCTAATATGCTAATGAGTTCCTGCTGTTGGGTATGGCCTATTATGCTAATGAGTTCCTGCTGGGCGTTTTCTACAAAAAAAGCCCTGACGGGGCAATGAACATGAGATGCATCCCAGTTTTTTAGAAAACGGCAGAGAAATGTCAGGATGAGACACTCATGCAGTTACTTGCGAGGATTACACCTTGCCTTGCAGCAGTCAGCAAAGTGCCCATTACAGGAAGGACAGATCCATGGGTACAGCTGCCGTGGCAAAGAACTATTTTCATCGTGCACTTCCATTTCACCATTAATCTATGTTATTGTTACATGCTCCTAATTTCTTCAAATGGTAAGACAAGCCAAAGGTTCCTCGACAAGGTTATGAACTTTGGGATGAGAGAGTCCTGGAGACTTGCAGAATTGTGTGTGTGTGTGTTCATTCTGTGTTTATTTTCAGATGCTCAGGCTGAGATTGGAGGAGCACACGGCAGCTGGCCAGGTTGCATTAACTACCAGAAAGAAGTAGTGGAAAATGCTGTCATGTCATCACAGCCAATTTTTTGGGTTGGAAAGGGTTGGAACACTTTCCCTATGAGGAAAGGTTAAGGCGCTTGGGGCTCTTTAGCTTGGAGAAACGATGACTGAGGGGTTTATGAGTTTATGACATGATTGAGGTTTATGAGATTATGCATGGGAAAGAGCAGGTAGAGAAAGAGGTACTTTTCTCCCTTTCTCACAATACAAGAACCCGTGGGCACTCAATGAAATTACTGAGCAGTCAGGTTAGAACGGATAAAAGGAAGTACTTCTTCACCCAAAGAGTGATTAACACATGGAATTCACTGCCACAGGAAGTGGTGGTGGCTACAAGCATGGACAGCTTCAAAAGGGAATTAGATAAAGCATATGGAGCAGAGGTCCATCAGTGGCTATTAGCCACAAGGTATAGAGAGGGGCTCTGGGGCAAGTGATGCTCTGTCTTCTTGGTGCTTGGGGGGGGGTCAAAAGTGGGAGGGCTTCTAATGTCCTGGCCCCACTGGTGGACCTGATGGCACCTGGTATTTCTGGCCACTGTGTGACACAGAGTGTTGGACTGGATGGGCCTTTGGCCTGATCCAACATTGGCGTCTCTTATGTTCTTGTGTTCTTATTGCTATCCCATAGAGTTTTCACGACAAGATGTGAACTGAGGTGGTTTGTCATAGCCTGCCTCTGAGTAGCAACCGTGGCCTTCCTTGGTGGCCTACCATCCAAGTACTAACCAGAGATGCCCCTGCTTAGCTTCCAAACTCCGAGAGGATTGGTCTAGCCTGGGCTATCCAGGTCGTGTATCCAGGAAGCAGTAGCAGCTCTCAAGATTGTTCTCCTCCTAGTCCCAGAGCCCATCACACCCAACACTAATATTTTCCTTCCAGTGAGCTATATAACTCATACCTGTTTGCATGGGGTGGAGAAAGAAGTACTTTTCTCCCTTTCACACAATACAAGGACTCGTGGGCACTCCATGAGATTAATGAGCAGTAGGCTTAGGAGAGATAAAAGGAAGTCCTTCTTCACCCAAAGAGTGATTAACACATGGAATTCACTGTCACAGGGAGTGGTGGTGGCTACAAGCATAGACAGCATCAAGAGGAGATTGGACAGACATCTGGAGCAGAGGTCCATCAACGACTATTAGCCACAAGTTATAGATGGAAGTTTGAGTCCAGTGGTACCTTTAAGGCCAACAAAGTTTTATTCAAGGTATGAGGTTTTGTGCGCATGCACACTTCCTCAGATACACTGAAATGGAAGTTAATGGTCCATACATATAGGTAGAGGATGAACAGCAAATTAGCATACAACATAATGGAGATGTTTTGATTCCCTTCATTTTAGTGTATTTCTCATTTGGAATAGTAGATTGGAACAGTGATTGTAATGCAATGAATATTGGAATGTATTTCTCTGATCTGGTGACAGAGGAGACATAACACTGCACAACCATTCTCAAAGCACAAAATCTGAAAGCAAAGGGTGCTGTTCGTCACCTCCATGCTGGAGAGGAGACAAATGGAGTGTAACAACAGGGTCTCGCTTAATTACTCTTAGCATTCCTCAATGGAGAAGGATACATTTACACATCAGTCTCCTATTTTGACATATTTATTTGCTTCACCGTGCTTCCCCCTGTAATTAAATCCAAACAAATGGTGAGCATATAAACTTAGCTTGTTATTCCTGTTTGGTCTTTGCATCTGTTAAAACATCATTATGCTGTATGCTAATTTGCTGTTCACCCTCTGCCTATATGTATGGACCATTAATTTCCATTTCAATGTATCGGAGGAAGTGTGTGCATGCACACGAAAGCTCATACCTTGAATAAAACTTTGTTGGTCTTAAAGCTGCCACTGGACTCAAACTTTGTTCTACTGCTTCAGACCAAAACGGCTGCCCACCTGGAGGTATAGATGAAACACTCTGTCTGGGGCAGTGAGTGGTTCTCTGTATTCTTGGTGTTTGGGGGCTAACAGTGAGAGAGCTTCTGGCATTCTGGTGGATATTGGCACCTGGGTTTTGGCCACTGTGTGACACAGAGTGTTGGACTGGATGGGCCATTGGCCTGATCCAACATGGCTTCTGTTCTGCTCCTTTCTGCGTTTCCCTTGCCCAAGCCTGTTGGATGTCTCTTGACACATATTTTTTTAAAGCCTGGAATTATCCACTGTCCACCAGCAACCAAGTAACTATACAACAGATGCAAATAGCAATTGCAATACATACTTGTGGGCAGGGCTCTTTTTGTAGAAAAAGCCCAGCAGGAACTCATTAGCATAATAGGCCACACCCAACAGCAGGAACTCGTTAGCATATTAGGCCACAACCCTGACAGCACAGCTCATTAGCACATTAGGACGCACCCCCATGTTACCAGAAGTGTTGTCATCCAGCCACACCCACCTTTCCCTTCTTATTCTGTTTACCTTGTTTGTTGTCAAAACCCAGGGCCTTTTTTTGTAGCAGGAACTCCTTTGCATGTTAGGCCACACACCCCGAATGTAACCAATCCTAATGAGTTTCTGCTGTTGGGTGTGGCCTATTATGCTAATGAGTTCCTGGTGGGCGTGGCCAACTCAGGAGCCAGCCGGAACTCCGTTCCTGTGCGTTCCTGCCCAAAAATAGCCCTGCCTGAGGAGCAGCCACCTGCATAATACTGTAAGAGAGCCAGTTTGGTGTCGTGGTTAAGAGTGCGGACTCTAATCTGGGAGAACCAGGTTTGATTCCCCCCTCCCCCCCTCCACATGCAGCCAGCTGGGTCACCTCGGGTCAGTCACAAGTTCTCTCAGAGCTGTGCTCTCAAGAGCAGTTCTCTCAGAGCTCTCTCAGCCCCACCTACCCCACAGGGTGTCTGTTATGGGGAAGGGAAGAGAAAGGAGACTGTATGCCGCTCTGAGACTCCGAGTGAAGGGCGGGATATAAATCCAATCCCTTCTTCTTCTCTTCTTCTTCATTTGACCACACAAAGGTGGACCATACCCAGAGAAACTGTAAGCAGAATTGGCATTGGAAAGGGCCATCAAGTCACAGCTTAGTGACCCCGTAGGATTCTCAAGGCAAGAGATGAACACAGAGGTGGTTTGCCATTGCCTGCCTCTGTGTAGCATCCATGGACTTCCTTGGTGGTCTCTCATCCGAGGACTAACTGGGGCCAACCCTGCTTAGTTTCTCGGATCTCAGATCAGGCTAGCCTGGGCTGAGGGGCTACTAAGCAGAGCTACAGCCTCCTAAGTCCACATTGTCTTCAATGGGTTTAAAGTAAAGGTAAAGGTTCCCTTGCTCGAAAGCCAGTCGAGTCCAACTCTAGGGTTGCGGTGCTCATCTCCGTTTCAAAGCCGTAGAGCCAGCGCTGTCCGAAGACGTTTCCGTGGTCACGTGGCCGGCATGACTAAACACCGAGGCGCACGGAACGCTGTTTCCTTCCCACCGAAGTGGTCCCTATTTATCTACTTGCAATCTCTTGCTTTCGAACTGCTAGGTTGGCAGGATCAATGGGTTTAGACGGACTTTAGTCCGTTTAGGATTGCTCAGTAAGTGTGCGAATGTCCTCCAGTGTGGCAGAACCCTTCTTGCCCCAGAGGAAGGCTGTATACGTAGGTGAGGATCCAACCTATCGTCTTTGGGGGCTGAATAACTGCAGTATTCTTTTTAAAGACTGGTCGAGATTGTGATAGGAATTGTACGTCACTCTTGACCAGCTTAGTGAGGAAAAGTGGTTAGTCCAGGTTGTAAATCAATAAAAGATGACATCGGGAGAGCGGGAAGGCTTTAGGAGGGTCCAATTTTTTATTTTTAAACAAGGGTTGGAGCATTTTTGCGACACT